AAATATACTATTAACTCTATCATTACCAACTGTGCTAACAAATAATAAGTATGCTAACAAAATATGCTATTAATAATTCTATCAGTACTAACTGTGCTAACAAAGAATAAGTATGCTAACTACACTGACTATACTGTTAATAAATCTATGAATATTACTAACTTAAGAAACAAGTATGCTAACTACACTAAGTATACTATTAATAATTCTACCTATATTGCTAACTTAACAAACAATACATATGCTAACTAAATATGGTATTAATAATTCTATCAGTACTACTAACTGTGCTAACAAACAATTATGCTAACTACACTGACTATACTATTAATAACTCTATGAATATTACTAACTTAAGAAACAATAAGTATGCCAACTACACTGACTATACTATTAATATCTCTATCAATATAACTAACTTAACAAACAATAAATGTGCTAACTGTGCTGAATAAATGTACTATTAAGAATTCTATCAATATTGCCAACTATGCTAACAATAAGTATGCTAACTAAATATGCTATTAATAATTCTATCAGTACTACTAACTGTGATAACAAACAATAAGTGTGCTAACTACACTGACTATACTATTAATAACTATCAATATTACTAAGTTAACAAACAATACGTATGCTAACTGTGCTGACTAAATATGCTTTTAATAACTATCAATATTACCAACTGTGCTAACAAACAATAAGTATGCTAAATATGCTATTAATAATTCTATCAGTACTACTAACTGTGCTAACAAACAATAAGTATGCTAACTTAATATGCTATTAATAATTCTATCAGTACTACTAACTGTGCTAACAAATAGTAAGTATGCTAACTACACTGATTTTACTATTATAACTCTATCAATATTACCAACTGTGCTAACAAACAATAAGTATGCTAACTAAGTATGCTATTAATAATTCTATCAATACTAGTAACTGTGCTAACAAACAATAGGTATGCTAACTACACTGAGTATACTATTAATAAGTATCAAAATTACTAACTTAAACAATAAGTATGCTAACTACACTGACTATACTATTAATAACTCTATTAATATTACTAACTTAACAAGCAATATGTATGCTAACTAGGGAAGTAAAAAAAAAAAAAACGGGGGAAAAAAGGAGAAAACAAGCTAACTGGTCCAAGTGCAACAGGTCACCACAAATCAGTTTCCTGGGCTATTAGCAGACTAAAAGCTCCGCCCAGCCAGGGCTTTATATAGCAGTTGGTAATTACATCACACTGGTGCTTTATGAAGTCAGAGCCAGAAACTGACCAAACATGTTTAAGGATAAACTACAGTGGTTTTCTCAGTTTTTGGTTTCAAGACCCCTTTACTCTGAAGAAAGGGGGTCCCTAAAAAGCTTTTTGTTTATGTGGGATATTAAAGACTGATATTTACTTTATTAGAATTTAAAGTCTGTAGGATGCTTCAAAAAAAAAAAAAAGAGGTGTATTATTATAGAATGTTTTTCCAGGGGTGGATAGTGTTGCATTTTGAAAAGCCCCTAAGATATGATATGTTTTCACTCCCTTAGTCAAGAAATGATGCTGCCCTTTGAGAAGCACTATTTGGGTGTATAATACACCAAATTGTATGTAAAATGTTCATTTAAAAGGTATCTACAAGCAAGTGTTCTTTAAAACCACCTTGTGCTTATTAATATTGTAGGTTAGCTGAGTAGTTCCCTCAGAAAATACTTTCAGGTGTGTATTCATTTTGGAAACCTTAAGTTTTTTTTAAAAAAATAAAAATTTTAAAAAATTTATTAAACCTTTTTAATAGTGAAAAATTTATTAAACCTTTTTAATAGTGAAAATTTTATTAAACCTTTTTAATAGTGAACCTTTTTAAAAGTGAAAAAAAAATGTACTTCATTCCAACTGTTGCATAGTATTCCATAGACACATTATTTTGTTTTGTTTTTAAATTCCTATCAGTGGATTTTTAGGTTGTTTCCATTTTTTTCCCATTGCACACAATGCTGCAGTGAACTTCCTTACACATACCTCCCTGTAAAAATGTACAAATACGTATTAGGAAACAGGAATTACCCTATCATAGGTTACATGCTTTTTAGATCCTAGTCTCTGGCAAATAGACTGTGGAGTGTGATAAATGTTTAACAACCAGAATTGGGTAGTGGCTGATTTGTTGCATTTGCCCACGTTCATTGCGTGAGCTCTCCCACCTTGGCTGATTTCAGACTGCTAATGTGACCTTATTGAACTTGGAGTTGAGAAGAGGTACACGCAGTCGACTCTTGTAGGCTGATATGAACTAGCTCCAGCACAGTTCCTAGAATCCCTTAAACTCAGGATGCAAATAGATATTGGCAAATAGCCCTTTAAGATAGCCCAACCAACTTAAACTTTCACAAGCAGTGTATAATGCTATCTATATGAAAGTATCTTGATACTGTCACACTTTTTGCCAATATAATGAGTCAAAAATGGTATCTCCTTTTGTCCTGCATTTTTCCAGTCATCAGTGAGGTTGCACATGTTTTCGTGTTTTTGTTTTTATTTCCTCTTCTGTGAAATGATCCATAGCCTTTGCCTGTTTTTCTTTTGAGTTGTCCTTTTCTTATTGATTTTTAGAAGCCCTTGATGTAGTCTGGAAACATTGTCCATCAAGGAGTTTTCAATGAGAACGAAATTAGAGGAATATTCCCAAATTTTATTGAGCACCTGCTATATGAACATACCCATCAAGGACTGGGTCTAAAAGAGAAAAGTACACATGTGTACATAAAACTCTATGTGTACTTGTTTAACATCGTGGTAGGGTCAGTTAAACACACACATGCATACCAGTAACACTAATAAAAAGTATTGTGGAAATATAAATAAATTGTATTTTGGCTCAGTCAGCCTATTTGTCTTTTTTTCCTCCCGCAAGCATCTTATCAATCTTCACTTCTGTTGGGGTCACTTAGGTCACTGGACTTTTCTTTATTTCTTTTTTTTTAAGGGAATACATACACCAGCACTTCGTATTCTCACTGAAATCACTTGTGAGTCTTTCTTTGAGGCCTTATACCTCATCTACTTTTCACTGTTGGCCCTGATCTAAGAAGGAAGAGTGCTTTTCTCTCTAAAAACGACTGGCAGCTACGAGTTTGCTGTCCCCTGGGATGAATTAGGAATTCACTGTTTTTCTCTGGGGTGGATTGTTCCCAGAATCCCACAAATGCAGATGGCCTGTTCCTACAAAGGCAGGGCTGTGTAGGAGAAAACATAAGAGAGATGTCATCTTAGATGGGAGTGGTTATCTGCAAAATGCTATTCTGACTGCTTTTAATTTGCTGCTCAGATTTCAGACTTAAACCAGACATCAAAAGTTTTAAATTGAAAAAGATGCTGACTGACTCTGGGTGGTGAACACACAATGTGATATACAGATGATGTATTACAGAATTGCACGCTTGAAACCTATGTAACTTTAACAATTGTCACCCCAATAAATTTTAATTGAAGAAAAAAAAAGATGCTGAAATGGCACCAGGTAGTAATACAGATGCTAGTGAGGGTAACTATTGAATCCCCCAGTTCTCTGGCATTCTTGCTTTTTCTCCTTCCTCCCACCACCAGGCCCAGTATTGGATTTAGTGAAATCTGAAAGAGTATCTTGACTCTGAATTACATCAAGCTGAAAACGGTAGCTTCAGCAATGTGTTAGAGCAGCAAGTAGTTCTTAACCAGAGACGGACATCAGAGTCCCCTGGGGAGTGTCTCTTAAACATGACATACCTGCTGCATGTCTGGGAGGATGGCAGGCACATGCATTTGACAAGAGTTCCCGAATGATTCTGGTGTGCCCTCATGATGAGGCAGTACTACCCCGGTGCCATTCTGTGACAAGTTTGGTACAGAAATGCAGAGTAAATGTGTAGAAATATTTACAGCAATTTAACAGAGTATGTCTGTTGAATCTAATAATAAGTTTGGGCTTGTACATCTTTTTTTATTTTGTAGTTTACAAACTTATGTATCTTACAAGATTATCAGGCTGTGATGGATTGGAAATTTAAAACAGTAGTCCTTTCTCGCAGTTTTAGAAGCACTGTCCTAGGATAGGTTAGCTGTGTTCAAGTCAGATAGGCACAACTAAAAATTCTCTGGTTTGGTAGCTTTGTGATCTTAGGTGAGCAGTCTCAATGAATGACCTCTTCAGCTGGGTCGTTGAGAGATTAGAGATAAGGTATCTAAAGCATCTAGCACAATGCTTGATATTAATGTCAATTATTAGAAGCCCATCGTGGAACAGTTTCTGACAGAACTATCTTCCAGTTGGTTGTTGAACACACAGAATCATGGAACATAGTGAGTGAATCTTTTTATTCAGGCTCATGCATGATATTCTAACCAACCGAGAGTGTGTGACACGACAGAGATTTTAGTGGCTTCTATAAGCTGTTCAACCATGAGTAAGAGGTCTTAGTGGCCATGGCATTCACAGGGCCAACCTCTGGTTAGCCTTCTTCTCAAC